GCAGAAACATGACATGATGGGGCTGTGAGTGTGAGACAGGGGCTGATAGGGGGTCAGCGGGGGCCGCTGATCGTGACAAAATCAAAATTCTTCTCTGATATAATTACCTCAAACTCTCACAACCCACGTGTCCTCTTCTCCACCCTAAACTCTGTTCTCCACCTCACTGAACCATCACCTCTGGAAGCCTCGACTGAGCTGTGTAACAACTTCTTACATTTCTTTTTGGAAAAAATTGCGACCACAAGGGCTCTCATTTCCCCTCCAACTCATGACCCATCCATCCCACCTCAATCTGTAGCTCCTTTTGACCATTTTGAACCCATCACTCTATCTTCTCTAGAGCAGGTCATGTGCAGCTTGAAACCTTCTGGTTCCCCCTTTGATGTGGTCCCCCCTCGACTACTAAAGGAGGTTTTTCCTACTCTAGGTCCGTCCATTCTTGCCATAGTAAACAGTAGTTTATCTACTGGCGTGGTGCCAAAATCCTTTAAACATGCTGCTGTCCAGCCTCTCCTGAAAAAAAACAAACCTTGACCCCTCACTCGTTTCCAACTACCGGCCTGTCTCCAAACTCCCATTTGTTTCTAAAGTACTGGAGAAAATAATCGAGTCCCAGTTGAAGAGCTTCCTGGAGGATCACGCCATCTTAGAGCTATTCCAATCTGGCTTTAAACCTCTCCACAGCACTGAAACTGCCCTGCTGAAGGTCTTTAACGACATCTTCAGATCCACAGATACTGGTGATTCTGTGCTGCTTGTCCTGTTGGACCTCACAGCCGCCTTCGACACCATCGACCATGAGATCCTCATTGCTAGGTTGGAGCAGTGGGTGGGCGTCACGGGATCAGCCCTCATTTGGTTCAGATCTTACCTCGCTGACAGATCCTTTTGTGTCTCCATCAAGGATTTTAGTTCCGCAGAGGCAGAGCTTAAATGGGGGGTTCCGCAGGGGTCCATCCTGGGTCCCCTCCTATTCTCTTTATACCTGCTGCCGCTTGGTGCTATTTTCCGGAAACACAACATGCCCTTCCCCTTCTATGCCGATGACTGTCAAATTTACTTCCCCCTAAGACACAATGGTACATGCTCTATTCAACCGCTGCTCAACTGCCTGGCTGACATCAGGGACTGGATGGCTTTAAACTTCTTAAGTTTCAATGAAAAGAAGTCTGAAGTCATGTTGTTCCCTCCCAATGACACGATCACAAACCCCTGCATCGACCTCTCCGCTCTAACCCTGTCAGAAAAACAAAGAGTCACTAATCTGGGCGTGATAATGGACCCTTCCCTGAAGCTTAACAATCATGTTAACATGATTGTTAAATCATGCTTCTTCCAACTGAGGCGGCTGTCTAAACTGAAGCCCATACTGTCCAAAAAGAACCTGGAGACAGTAATACATGCATTCATTACATCTAGGCTTGATTACTGCAATTCGCTCCTGTTTGGCATCAGTCAGACCTCCATTGCACGACTACAACTGGCCCAGAATGCAGCAGCCCGATTTTTAACCAGTGCAGGCAAAAGAGAGCACATTACACCAGTTTTGGCCTCACTGCACTGGTTACCGGTTCACTTTCAAATCCAGTTCAAAATACTCATGTATGTCTACAAATCACTGAACAGTGTCACACCCCCCTATCTCTCTGATCTGCTACAACCCTATGTCCCACCACGTTCCCTGAGGTCAGCGGACCAGTTGCTCCTCACAGTTCCAGGAACTGGTCTTAAGCACAGAGGTGACAGGACCTTCTCTGTAGCAGGACCAAGCCTCTGGAACGAGTTACCTCTGTTTGTCAGACAGGCCCCCTCCCTCTCGGTTTTCAAGTCCCGTTTAAAAACTCACTACTATTCAGTAGCTTTCAACACCAGATGATCTGTGTTTTGATCCTGTATGCTCCACACTGGTTTGTCATCATTATCTGCATTGTTTTTATGTCTATATTCTGATTTACCTCATCTTGTATTTTGCTTTGTGTGTTACCTGTTGTTTTGTCTGTACAGCACTTTGGTTGGCCTTGTAGCTGTTTTAAGTGCTTTATAAATAAAGTGGTATGGTATGGTATGAATTGAATTGAATTGAACATTATAATCTGTCTCTAAGCAGATCAAAACCCAGGGTCACAGTCTAGATAAAATATTTCTATTTCTATGTTTCTATTAAGAAAATATGGCAAGAAAACTGGGACATGAATGATACAGGAAGACACTTACAGTATAACATTCAGAAAAAGGTAGAATATACAAGGAAAACAAGAAGAAACTAGAACCAATAATCACTCGTATCAGAATAGGATGTACAGGTCTCAATAAATCTCTTAAAATAATTGGAAAACATGCAATGGTGTGATAAATGTAATCTCCCTGAAACGGTTCACCATGTTTTAATGGAATGCTGTGCAATCAGAATAAGGCATTTCCAAAAATAAATAAAAAAATGAACATTATATTTACAATTAGTGACATTTTAGTAGTGATGTCAGTAAAGTAAAAGATCAAATTATTATTTTCTTGAAAAATACAAAGTTAATAGATATAATTTAGTTAAATTGTGGGCAGCATGGTGGAGCAATTGGTAGAGCTGCTGCCTCTCAGAGAGAAGGTTGCCAGTTCAAATCCCTCCTTTCTGTGTGGAGTTTGCATGTTCTCTCCGTGCATGCATGGGTTTTCTCCGGGTACTCCAGTTCCTCAAACAGACCAAAAACATGCATGTTAGGGTGATTGGTAACTCTAAATTGTCCCTAGGTGAAAGAGAGAGAATGGTTGTTTGTCTCATTTGTCTCCATGTGTCCCTGTGATGGACTGGAGACCTGTCCAGGGTGTACCCCGCCCCTTCCACAGTGATTGCTGGACATGGGCACCGGCGACCCCCGTGACCCAAAATGGAAGAAGCAGGTAAAGATAATGGATGGATGGATGGATGGATGGATGGATGGATGATGGATGGATGGATGGATGGATGGATGATGGATGGATGGATGATGGATGGATGGATGGATGGAAGATGGATGGATGGATGGATGGATGATGGATGGATGGATGGATGGATGGATGGATGCATGGATGGATGATGGATGGATGGAT